AAACATCCATTTTTGTTGCTAGGCAACGGATTGGAATTTTCGAAAAACACACCTTTTTGAATTGAAAGTCCAAAAGAGACATTCCTCTGCTTTTATGCGAAATATATGCAATTCCTGTATTAAGCCAAAAGTTTTAGTAATAAGGCCTTGAAAAGTACCAAAATCAATAAAAGTGCTGAATCAGCAAAAAACACAAAACATGCATATCTACCCATGTCTAGTACAGTTATATCTCAAATTCTTATTTCTATGTAGTGCATTGTGAAAACACTTTACATGTTTATCTTTACGATAAGAATAAATAAGAAGAAATTCTATAATATTTACAATCAATTTCAAGCCCTAAAAATTAGTGATTTTTTTTTGTCCATACACATGGAAAATTGACCGGTTGCTAGGGAAATTTCTTTTGTCATGGTTCCATAGTAACCATGACCCAAAACATTTTTCACTTTGCATACATGGTTCATAGCACAAGAGAAATCTATGTATTGAAAATCATCAAATTCTGAGAACCCTCATGATTCACTTTCAACCTACTTTGCCTGATTTTTACAGAGACTCGCACTTAAATAAAGTAATTAATCAATTGTAATATTCCAGTTTGATTTTCTTTAGACCTCGATGATTTCGTTCATAAAAATGTTTGTAGACTATTATTTTCTCAAGAATTGTCAACTTTTTTTTTCTGTTGACTTGATCATAACAGTGAGCACATGTCTGAGACTTGTTGACAGGGATGCTTTCTTCTCCGTGGCACCCCATTCTACCGTTGCGTTCAGAGGTCCTAGTTGCTGTGCTCATAAATGGACTTTCAGAATAGATCATTATTTGTTATCTTCACGGTTTTTTTTTTTCTTTTTTGTTTTTTTTTTGTTTGTTTGTTTGTTTGTTTATTTGTTTTGTATTGTTTGTTGGTTGGTTGTTGTTTTTTTTTTTTGTTTTTTTTTTTTTTTTTTTGTGTTTTTTTTTTTTGTGTTTTTTTTTTTTTTTTTTTTTTTTTTTGTTTTTTCTTTGTTTTTTGTTTTTTGTTTTTTGTTTTGTTTTGTTTTGTTTTTGTTTTTGTTTTTTTTTTTTTTTTTTTTGGGGGGGGGGGGGGTTCTCCCTTTTTTTTGGCTATATGTTTAAATTTGTCATCCAACAGAAGTAATTGCACTATAAATGCACTACCGGTGTCGCTCTGTTCTTAAGATGATACCAATTTCTGTGTCGAAGAAATAAAAATCTACTTCAAGTGTCACCTCATAAAAGGAGTTAACCGAGTTTGCGTCTCGCTTCTCGGAAGAAAGGGTCAGCTGAATTCTCTGAAGCCATACACTCAGACCGGTTATCAGTAGTTTTTAGTTATTTAGTTCATTATACGATGTTGATAGATGTGCTATATATCGTACATTTAGAATTATCGTAATGAAAAAATATCATATGTAGATGGTATATTAACAATAAATTTACTATATCAAATGGCTTCAAGTGTCTTTCATTTAAAAATCTTAACCACGCTTTTTGGAGCCAAAAGTTATTTTGATAGAGATGAGGCTAATAGCTGTCACTAGAGGGCGCTTGGAAACTATAACCCGGAAACCCCCCTCAAGACCCATGCATTCATACAACATTATTAATAAATCAAAATACCACAATCCTGTAAGCATTTAGATCACATAAATTCATTTATATAAATAAATCCACATATCTAATGGCTTCAGATGACTTTCATTTCTAAACAAATGTTGAGCATGTTAAGTACATGAATGTAGGTTAAAAAAATATTGAGTTCTTGTTCAACCTGCATATTTAATGTTTAACTTTAATTCGATCGAAAAAATATTCCACCAGAGACTTAGATATTTGCAACTCCGGCATTAAATATTTATTTGCTAAGATACATGCAGGATCTGGTATTATTCTTAACATTACTCTTAATTGCTTTTATATTTCTATCTTAATTTAAATAAATATTTTCCAAGCAGGTGTCTTATTACAAAGTTTTTAAACTTCGTGTATACATTGATTGATAATAGAAATAAAGGCATAAGAAAAAGGCCAATAATCGAAGTATACAGGGAAGCATTTGTAACAAGGAGCATTTAAGTAATTTGAACATTTGAAGTAATTGATCTGTCTCATATACTGGATTTTCTGCACTTTGTTTACAAATTCTTACTGACGTTTTTTCATGCAAATTGTTAGGCCATTATTTAAACACAGAATTTTCTACAGGTTTTTCCGTTTGAGCACACGGCGGTTGTAACCGGGATACTAGTTTGAAACTCCAAAACCTTACCTCCATTTAAATGCTGAAAGGTCACAAATCTGGCATATTTGCAGATTTTTGTAAATTGGTGAAAATAACCCTACTTAAATAAGTAATGCATTGACTTTCTTAAAATTGCTTTTACCTTTGAGAGAGCATTCATATTATATTGAAACTTTTTTTCTGGATTCTCAGTAATACTGAAAATATTTTTACTTCAAGAATGGTTTTCTTCTGCTTGCTAATTCTTCAGGATATGTGGTTGATCATTGTATATAATAGGTTTATCATAAATCAAAATATTAGCTATTCAAGCAAAATTTTACTGAATTAGGGTATTAATTTTGCAATTTTATCCTAATATGTACAATACATGCATTAATAACCTGAAATATACTTAATCTGAATCTGTAACAATGTGCTATGAATGGTTCTCGCAATACTTTTTACCCTCAATTGAAACAAAGACCCATTATATATTCACTTGTACATTGATACCAACTCAAACTTAAGGATTATAATATATCTATTTATTTAAATCATTCATGCATACAAATAGGCCTTTAAATGGAAAGTTTTAGTATCTCTAGAAAAGGTAACTGTATTTGTGAGTCAAATAAAAATTGATATACCGTAATCTATCAATCTATATAGAGAGGATATTCAATATATGGAATCTATTTCACGAGTTCGACGGGATTTTTTTTTTTAATATATATTTTCACGAGGGCAAAGCACGAATGATTATAAATTTTAAAAAAAAATCCTGTTTCATTCGTGAAATAAATTCCATATCAAAGTATAAAATTTTCTGTTTTCTTTGATTTTCCCATTGCCTCTGTCTTTTTGTAGCACAGGGTCATAGGCTGTGACGTCATAGTTGAGCAGTAGAGACGTCATAGATTTGCGATTGTGAGATTGAAAACATTGTAAACATGAATTTTAATAACATACTTGGAGAATCTTTGTCAGGATGATTTATTTACTCTATCTTAACAGACCAGAGGTTATTTGTTACAAAATTTTCGTAAAGGGAAGGAAAAATTCGAGAGTTTTGACGAACTTCTGATATTCTGTCACACTGTGACAGAATATCACTTTGATATTCTTTCACACTTTGCTTGAATCTCACTTTTATTCAATAGATATATTACATGTACAGTATCACTGTTGACATGTAATAAAATATCTTATAGTATATATTATCATTTTTTCTTATATTTTGACTCTGATCTCTAGGTTTCTTAATATATGTTTTATGTAGTTTTCTATCGAATTATAATTTAAATACTTACCGGAGTAAGCGATCACTATAAATGTGCTTATATTGGAAACATTTTAAGGAAAAGAGTTTTGAACATTGTTTTATATTATTTTTTCTTTTGGGACTTGGATTAGATCGTAAATTGAACAATTCTTAATTATCCAACTACATGTATCTCTTGCACTGGTTTGAACATGAAATCAATAAACAAGACATCAGATCTGCTCACAGACCAGAATGCCTGTATTCAACATTGTGGACTGTACATCTTTTGAGATTTTCAAAACAAAAAAAAAACGTTCTTGCCTTTTTAACCATGCAATGCAACTCTATTTCCTCATGACTGATAGACTGGTGTATATTTGGTAGACTTATTGAACATTGAAGTCACGTCCAGTTGTGATAGAAAAGTGTCAGATTGCATCTACCAGTCTTTCAATGAATAGACACATGAAAACATGAATCATCTTCGTCTAGACTGTATGCAAATGTCACTTTAAATATTTTAAATGGTAGTAATCTATGATGTAAAAATATTTAATTCTATTCCAGAAAAAAAATTTGAAGATTTCTTTGTGAATGCAAAAAGAGTTGTTGTTTTTTAAATTAAAAAAAAACTCCTTTGCAGTTGATGTTATTTAAAGATATTCGCTAAGTTTCCATCTGTTCTGCTTTTCTATTGTACAGTATGCTTAAATCAAGAAAGCGATATTAGATTTATCTGAACATTGTTGAAAAATATATCCCCAAATTTGAATTGAAGCAGTTTTGGTTAACTGTTTTTAGATACTATTAATGATATTAGATACTATTAACTACATAATGGTTTCAGATTTTGACAACTCCTTTGTTCTCCAAACAGTTTGCAATTTGTATTTGCAGGTGCATGCGGTTTCCATAATACACTCCAATACAATGAAGCATCACCGTCCCATTCATACTTTTTGTTTTGTTTTTATTTTTTTCTTCAAAAAATAACAAAAACACGGATCACATCTCTAATATTGTGACTCTGCAAGAATGAACAGTAGCTTAGACTAAAAATCTTAAGGTGTAATATGAATGTGTGAAACACATATTCCATAGTCTCTGCATATAACGAAAAGGGCAATCTTTCTATCTGGATGAGTTTTTATTTTGTAACACGAAACAAGGCATTGACATTGCTGCATCGTGTAAACTCTCTCTCTCTCTCTCGAGAGAGAGAGAGAGAGAGAGAGAGAGAGCACCCGCGTTTACCAACTTGTGGGGAACTCACACCTGACAAAGGACCTTTCTTATGGGGAAAGTTGAGAATTGTGGGGAAATCTCTCGTTCCCCACAAATATGGTCATGGGTATTTTTGGATTCTACGTAGTCTACTGATAAAATTTAATCGATTTGTTTTCATTTTCGAAAAATTCCCCATAAGTCGGCAAAATTAACCCACATTCTGTGTTCTCACTGCACCGTAAAACGAATGTATGGGGATGCTGGGAAATGTTCATTCGGAATGCAGCGGGGTTTAAACTGGTCCCCCTAACATCGTAAACTTTCAAAGGCTAACAAGGAGCGGAAAACCAACTTATTGCGGGTAATGGCGGCTCCGAGGTGACAGTCATGTGGTAAGTAGTTAGATTTTTTATTATTGACAGGGTTCTCACTAGGATTTTGTTAACTTGAGTCCCAGGACTCAAGATTTCTGAGAAGGTTGCGTCCCAGCTAAATTTGATGCGTCCCAGAATAATTATGTTGAGTCCCAACTAAATTATTGCAGTATCCCTCCATCCAAACATCAATATAAATCTTTACCATTTTATCAGTTTGTTTACGCAATATTAACATATTCAAGTATATAAACTGGTAATGCATTCAAGCCATATTCTAAAATACACGCGTAATCAATTGCCATAAAAATTAACTTGGTGTTTATAAAGCTAAAATTAACTGTTGCATAATCAACTAGTACCCGAAAGTTGACTGTATACAATCACAGGTGTCATGTGCAATGAGGCGTAACTAATCCTGTCGGTCGTCTGCACTGGGTGAAATTCACGAGATAATCAAGCCGCATTGTGTATACAAGCAGTAATTATGGTTTCTATATGTAGATAACACTCAAGATTCAAAAGTGTGTGTGTGTTTTTTTTTAAAAAAAGCTGCAGTGTGTTTACAGCTGTCGGAGTTTGGCATGCGACATTATTATGACTATGGACTATAATAAACATGAAGTATCTTAATTATGATCAATCCCTGTTTAAAAAAAGAGAAATAAGTACAAGAAAAGTTATTTTCTGGATGAACTTTATGATAGTTACAGGAAGGTTTCAATTAAATATTTCTTTGACAAATCCCAACATCTAAATTCCCCGTTTTTGAAATTACCCGAATTTTCTCGCTAACGAGGACGCGTCCGATCAGGAGTCCGCGGACGCATCGTTTTTAAGAACCTTGCGTCCCAAGTAATTTTGCTGCGTCTAGGACGCAGATTCTTGCGTTATTGAGAACCCTGTATTGATTAGACTTACAACAACCTGCTTAGCTTTAGACACGTAAATCATGCGTGAAGTAATGCATATAGTAGTACATGAAGTTCGTAGTAGAAAAGTAACATTTAAAACCATGTAGTGTAACGTGAAACATTGGCCCACTTCAGACAGTGTCAGAGTCGTCGATTTTATTTTATAATGGTAACTGTTAATCCTGTTAAAAAAAAAATAAGAATTTATATTCAATACTTTACCCCCGGGATCTGATAGGCGTTGGAAGGTTGTTCCTTTTTTTTTTTTTTTTTTTTTGCAAATCATATGCCCATGTAGAAATATGTTTGATGGTGCGACCGTTAGCAGGTCCAGCACAATCAGTACATTTAGCTACCTAGCTAAAATTACCAACCGTAGCTTTATTTACCTACCTCAGGTAGCTTTATTCAGCTATTTCAAGGAAACTTCACAAATTTGCTTTTTATTTTAAAAAGACAAAAAACGGCAAGTAAATTTCTACTAATATTCATTCTAGGTATTATTTAAAAAGCAATCTAAAGCAGAGATAGCTTTAACATTGCTGCGTTTAACACTTTTAAGAAAAATATGTATTTCCATTGTTTGAGTCAGGGATAGACATTAACTTTCAGATTTACTTGCCCTTCGGGCAAGTGATCTCAAACTTTGACTTGTCCGAACACAAAACTTGGTTGCCCAAAATAAGGAAAGAACTTCAGAAAAAAAAAATTTATTACTGTAAATATTATGACAAGAAAAAATGTGACCAAATACACTACCGTCAATTTGGCAAGGTGAGGTACCTGAAAAAATTTTGATGCTGCGTTTGTACATAAATGTATACCACTGTCCCTGTAAATTTAACCTGTTAACACACACTGCCATGAAGCCAGGGTTCGACACTAACGTTAGTCCGTTAGTCTCAGACTAATACATTTTCATTCGGACTAATAAAATATGTGACTAATTAGTCCGAACGGACCAATAAAAATTTCTGAAAAACAATATGAATAAATTACCCATGTCCGATTCTCGACAATTTTTACTGGAAAACCCTGCGTGTATTTTTAGATTTCCAGCTTTTGGCGGGTAGTTACACAATGCCGGGTCAGTTCAGCGCTTAATTTTTCAACTAATCGAAGTATAAGGTTTTAGCGATCATGATTTAGTATGACATTCTTAAGAAAGATGTTGGACGTAATGTAAAGACAAAAAAAAAAAAAACAAAAAAAAAAAAAAACGAGATCGGGAATACGATTGCACTTGCTGATTGCGAGATTTCAATGAATCTGTGGAATAATATATTTCACGTAAATAATTTGTTTATTTCAAAAAATAATACGTATTTTAATTGTCACATTAAATTAATGTTAAAAAACATCAATTTGATGTTTCTTTTTTTTTGACGGACTAATAAAATCGCGTGCGGACTAGTAAAAGTAATGAAGCACTAGTCCGGCTGGACTAAAGCCTTAAAAAGTTAGTGTCGAACCCTGCATGAAGCAATAACCCTCCATTTATTTAAATTCATACTTTTAAAAAAAATATTTTCGGTAGGATTCTTTTGTGAATCATAATTTTCTGAGATAACTGTGAAACAACGCTGAAGGAAGATAGTTGCTACATAACACACATCGATCTTTACCTTGATCAGGATACATCGTGTTACACTTTACTTATATTCTGTAAGTGAATATAAATAATCTAATTTCCAAATAAGAAGTTAACAAAAATGTTAGACGAACAGCATATTTACCAGGGAAAAAGAACGGAATAACGAATCCGATTTTCAAATGATAGGTATAATCCAGAAATGCTGAAAAGGAATTCCGAATACAAAAACAATGTCAGTCAGGTACCTGGCAAAAATCAAGTCTTCAATTTATTGTTTTTTATATATATATATATATATATATATATATATATATATATATATATAAATTAATGTAAACTAAATAAATATGTACATTTCTATGAGGAAAAAATCACTTGCCCGATCGGACAAGTACGTCGCAAGATTCACTTGCCCGAACGGAGAATTTACTTGTCCCGGGCAATCGGACAACCGTTAATGTCGATCCCTGTGAGTAACTGTGTACCACCTTGTGTGCGATGAGGTGTGGATAAGTATGATTACTTCACATTGTGCTCATGTTAACCAAAACTGGTTTTCTTTGTTATTTCACTCAAGAAGTAACTGTTAGGTCACAAATTAACTGTTGTTTATAGCCCCAAAACTTTTAGAACTTTGATTGCAATTGCGCAGAAAAAGACACATCTCCATACTTGCCAACCTCCAACATGTAAAAATCTGGTCATGACCAGATTTGGAAAGTAAAAAATCTGGTCATATAACGCGTAACGACATTCATGACACATTTACCATGATTAAATTAAATATATATGCATATATAAGCATTTGTGTATTGAGAATTATTTTATTAAAATGTGGCTTTAACTTAGAATGACAAAAAAATTTATATATATTGATTAAATTTACATGTTAGAAGAGCATTTAAGGTTTCATTATTCAGTATATTGACCTGAATTAAGTGTGCATATTTTTTAAAGGAAAGTCTTTTCAGAATCTGCGTTGCTGATTTGAAGTACATGGAAAGTTAAATGTGCTAAATTTGAAAGTATTCCAATTTTGATTTTGAAGTTATTTTTCCTCGAATTAATTTAATTAACAAGTGCTATTAAATTTACAGTTATGTCTACACTATCTTCAAACACTTTATTTTATCTAATGAAAGTTGTTTTCCAAGATTCCTTGATATGTACATAAATATCGTTTCTCTTTTACTTGGTTCAATTTGTTCCTGCTGGCCCTGATAATGACCTCGTTCTATCCGAAGCCATTTTAAATTGACTTCAAACTTTGATTTTTCAAAACAACTCTCAGGTAATTGTTTACACCTGCACTGATAATTCACTGGTACACGGCCTACTGAACATAGCCATCGGCATTGCATGTTTACGTACTATATCCAAGCTTGGGTTGTAACTGGAAGTTAAAAGTGCAACCTAATTTATGAACCAAATCTGGAAATCAGGAGATTTTCGGGTTGTTCGGCAAAAATCGGGTGAAAAGCATGACCCGCTGTGTCATAAAAAATAATCGGGTTAAGGGTCGAAAAATCGGGTGTAACCCAACGAAATCGGGTGAGTTGGCACATTTCCAAGAGTCCGAAGGACCCGCAACTTTCACTTCAAAGTGCCAAGTGCATGGCAAAGGAACAGTTGCTAATCATTTTTTATCGACTTACGTCAGTCGTGGCTGAGATTCGAACTCACGACCTCCCGATCGCGGAGCATGCACTCTACCGACTGAGCTACCTTGAACAGTCTAAAGCTAAGAGAAAATAAGCCTTTGGGAATTTTATTTCAAGAGATGACATACATTTCCTATTATAGAATTTTTGCTGTCTAATAATCATATTCTGGATGAAAGAATACCCAATTGAAAGATATTATTAATCACATATTACTTGAGATTCTGCCCAGAAACCTATAAAATCTAATTATTATCCAGATTCAATAAAAGGTGGTGCAATTGATATGATATATTCCATGAAAAGATATAATTTTTTTTAATTTTAATTTACTTGCTCTACCATGTCTACCAGTTGCAAAGTGTAGCAAGCTAAGTGGTAGTCTAAGAGCTTGTCGAAGCCACAAGCAGTTGGGGCATGGACCTCCTCCCCCCTTTTCCATTTTTTTTTCTTGATAAATCTGGGTTGACATCTTTTTCATATTTTTGTATTCTAATACATGTATGTTATTGATAAATGTAACTCTTTTGTCTCAGTAAGCTGTTTTTAAATATCTTGTTTTCTACTGATACATAAAAAGAAAGAAAAAATTTAATATTCACTTTTATTTACAGATTGTGCCCTCCATAACTTACATGTATCTATATAAAGGTACAAGTTTATAAAATTTTCTTAGCTCTTGAAGATCCCTGTTTTCTATTTGTTGTTGGGAGTTTGTTGTTACTAATTTATAAAGGAAAAAAAGTTATCGGGAAACGGAGCAAAAAAAGTATTGATTTCTCAGAAAAAGGTGGGGGGCAGCCCCCTTGCCCCCTTCCACTCACATCATGTGTTTATGTACAAATGTAT